ATGATGTTGGTGACGATGATGACGATGCTGGTGATGCTGGTATTGAGGACGAAGATCATGTTACTGATGATGATAATTACGATGATGCTGCTGATGCTGACCATGATTAGTGATCATGGTTATGATGGTGATTACTGTGATGATGATAGTGATTATGTAAGCAATAAAAACAGAACTGGCATTTTCACTACGTGTTCCAGAAATCCAGAAATGGACACTCCGCCGAATGAACGGACGCAATAAGTTATGAACGGACAGCGCGGACACGAAAATCGAATCTCAAACGTCTGCATTTAACACACCGCTGCCGAAAACATTTTGAGTCAACGATCTGGAAAACAAAATAAAAATTCTCCACCCGGCATACCACATACAGTATTACATCTCGCTTGAGCCGTGGCGACTGGAGCTGCTAGTCACCTGCAACTTTCTGCAAGTTCTACCAAAGCGACCCCGAGGGGAAATATTCAGCGATAAGAAGTTAAGCCCCGTGTGTGGTGTTTTCTGTTGTTGTTGTTGTACAAACAGAATTAGATACTGTGGTAAATACTGCGAGTTGGCAATCCTGTCCTTCACAACATATGAAGCACTCGGACTGAACACAGAGATATGTTGCGTTGTAGTTGGCACAGTAGGGAGCTCAGTTGGTGCATCTGCCAACCATATCAGTCAACCCATGGCACCTGGGTCTGTCCCGTGACCTCCTCCTCCTGCACCCAGCCTGGCACGGCAGTGAACCCATGGCACCTGGGCCTGTCCTGTGACCTCCTCCTGCCAGAAAGGTGCACCTAGCCTGGCACACGCGCCATGGCGACGTCACCGCCACTTAGTGGCGAACGACGGTTACTGTTGTTCTATTTATTCGTCTTAATCTTGTTATCGGTAATGCAGTGTTGTTAGCAGTGTGTGTGTGTCAGCGTGTGCGAGGGAGCGGTGGTGTAGCGATTAGCGCGCTGCGCTACCAACCCAGCGGCCCTAGGTCGATTCCCGCTCACGGCCAACACCCAGTGACGATTATCTGAACCGATCCTGGGACTCCCCTAGGTCGACTCAACCTCAAATGGTTCGCCGTGTAAAAATATCACCACGAGGGAGATCAAAGGCGGATTTTTGCCACCCACTCCCTGGTGTGCCGTGCCGGCCTTCATAGGTGCTACTCGCTCACAGCACTTGCCCCGAGTCTGTTGAAGGCTATACGGGGGATCTTTGTCTTTGTGTTTGCGTGTGTGGGTGGTTGCTCAGTTTAAAAACGTACACTTGCTACAAACTGTCACGCGATCAGGAATGTTTGAGTTCATATTTTGTATGCTCGTTATCCCAATACCATCTCGTTATCTCATTACCATTAGCCACGTTAAACCATTCCAATCAACTCGCGATCTCATCACCACCAACTTCGTTATCTCATTACACCAGTGTCGTTATCTTATTACCACCAGTGGCGTTATCTCATTACCACCAACTTCGTTATCTCATTACCACCAACTTCGTTATCTCTGCACCACCAGTGTCGTTATATCACCGTGAGCCACTTTTCTTCCTTCGTTGTCCGCAGCTACAGACAGACGCGTGTTGTCTGCCCCCCACCCCCACCCCCATCTGATCCGTACGGACCAAAATAATAATTATCATGTTTAAACCTCTCTGGACAGTGAATTCCAACTTCTCTGGACATGCAGATCACCCACCCACCCGTCCACCCACCCACCCATTCACCCACCCATCCACCCACCCACTCACCCACCCACCCATCCACCCACCCACCCATCCACCCACCCCCCCCACCTGGACCAACACTCAAATCATTACCGCGGCCCGAGCATGCACCAATAAACGCATTCCCCAATCCCTCCCAAAAAAATTAAACTACTCAAAACCGTAGCAGTGCTACTGAGTACCTCGCCGAGTAAAGTCTCGATAGAATCCCTCGAGAATTAGGAATTCTTAAGCAACGTTAAAATTCTAATCCACTCAGCGTCGTCATCAAAACCATCAATACCCCATCCCCGTTCCGATGACGTTGTAAAACAAACAAAAAACGCGATCGCGACCCAAGGAGGAAGGCGGTGTCACGAATTCACGCCCTCCGCCAACTCCTCCTCCTTGCCGCGCGAGGATTCCATTTCAAACAAACGCCGTCCTACCGTAGCGGCCACTAGTGGCTGCAGTGGAGGGGGGTTGGGGGAGGGGCCGGGGAGGGAGGGGTGGGTGACACGAACGCCGGTTGACGTGCAACGTGGACGCACGGATCGACGGCAACGTCGATCCGTGCGCGCGCGACGTCTCGCGTGAAGCCAGATTCGTCCAGATTTCGTCCAGCCCGTCTTCTTTCGGTGTTTTTATTTTTCCACTTCGAGTCGCGGGGTTTGTGCGAGAGCGGTTAAATTGCTCCGGCGATGACCTCGCGTGCTCTCCCGGGGCTCGGCCTGGAATTCCCTGACCCTATCGCGTGTATCGATGATGAGAACATCATCATCATCAGAAGAACTTTGACGCGAGCTGACCCGACTCGACCCGACTCGACCCGAGTCAAAGCCGAGTCGACCATCCCATGCTAACAAGGTCACGCAGTGCTCGTACGCGATTCTGCACACGTGCACGGAGGGGAGTCGATTTCAAATATAAATATCGACCGGGACATTCCGCCTGCTCCTTTGTTTGTGTTATTTAGAACCTTTACATTACAGGGATGGGGAATGTCCGGCCCGCGGGCCGTATGAGGCCCGCGAAATCATTTGGTGTGGACCTGCCAAGTCATCCGCAGGCGGGACTCGAAATTCAATAAATCTAGGAGCAAACCTGGAAAAGCAATTGCGAGTAGCAACATCGTCAATACCAGCTAACATCATCACACGCCTCACCAAAGAGAAGCAGTTCCGGCCCATCGAATTAGGGGTGAGTTAATAAAATGTTTGACCAAATATAACAGGCTAATTTTTAAGTTGATAATTTTGTATGGCCCGCGAATGATGTTATAAATATCCAAATGTCCCTTGGCGGAAAAAAAGGTTCCCCACCTCTGGTCTAGAACAACGACGCTCATGGTTTGTATTGTGAGCTGTGAGTCACTTAGAATTTCGGGGCGAATTGCACATCCCCCCCCCCACCCCCCAATCGTAAAGAGAGATGGCCCGGCTTACGAACAAAGCCCTGGCAGCTCATCAGCATTGACCAAGCTTAGCCCGACCCGCCGATGAGACGCCACGTGGCGAAACCGGCCAATGCCGAGGTTTGCTTTGTCTTGAGTCAATGCTGATGCCTTTGTTCACTTCCAGAAGGAAGGCCGTGTCGGCTAGCGAGTTGTGTCAGACTAACTCTTTCATTATTATTGTTTTTAATGTGCAGAGACGACGGCTTACGTGGTAATTGAACATGATCCGCTTAGTGCGTGAATACATACTGCGAGGGTGTGTGTGTATATGTGTGTCGGCCTTCATAGGTGCTCGCTAACAACACTTGCCCCTACAGTCTGTTAAGGCTATACGAGGGATCTTTGTCTTTGTAGGTGTGTGTGAGGAGCGGTAGTGTAGTGGTTAGCGCGCTGCGCTACGAGCCTGGTGACCCGCGTTCCATTCCCACTCACGGCCAACACCAATGACGATTATCTGAACCGGCCCCGGTCCTGGGCCTCCCCTAGGTCAGCTCAACCTAAAAATGAATACCTGGTGCGTAAAGACCGCCACTGGGGAGACAAAGGCGGTCGGGCGTGGTGTTGGCAACCCACCCCCTCGTGTACCGTGCCGGCCTTTATAGGTGCTCGCTAACAGCACTTGCCCCTACAGTCTGTTAAGGCTATACGGGGGATCTTTGTTTTGTTTTGTGTGAGAGGACTCACAGGAACTGGTGTGGGTTCACTTCTGTTTCGCAGCATCAGCCAGCGTTATTTTAGTTAATTAATTTCGTTGTTCCTTGGTGGAACTCTTTAATTGTATTTGTTTCATGTTCAGTAGCTTCATTGACTGATGATGTAAATGCGAGTGTGCCCATTTAGTCGTGAGTGGCGGTTGCAGCGGTCAGCACCCGGCAGGAGACCCCAGTTCGATTCCCGCTCACGGCCAACCAACGCCAGCGACAATTATCTGAACCGTTGCTTGGGGCCTCCCCCAGGTCGACTCAGACTCAAATGTGTTACCCGGTGCGGTGGTGTAGTAGTAAACATCGCCACTGGGGAGACAAAGGCGGTCGGCCCTGGCCACCCCGCCTCACTCGTGTGCCGTGCTGACCTTCACAGGCGCTGCTACTCGCCAACAGCGCTTGTGCGGACGGTTCTGTTAAAGGCTACACGGGGGATCTTTGTCTGTTGTCTGTTTGTCTTTGTGCAACCATAATCAGGTGTGTTCAGCACAACATTTTTTTGTCAATGACCCCGGGGGGGGGGGGGGGGGGGGCTCTTGTCACGGCCGAGCTGGGGTCAGACATCTCCCTGCAGGTACGGACGGACCTGACTCCCTCGCTCACACATACTCCGAGCCCAGGGTTTTGGCAACCTTGGAGTCAAGTTGACCATTGGAAGTCCAATTTTCTATGAGCAAGAGTCGGCAAACACGCATGCGCCGGCTCTATAAGGAACTGCTCCGTGACACGTTGTGTATTAAGGGCCACGGCCGTCTCGTAGTCACCACGACCATCGCGGCTGTTTAAATGGTGAGTGTTTTGCGGAATAAAACCAAAAAAATAATCTCTCCCTTCTTGTATTTTGGTTGCCGATCGCTGCACCGGTCACTGTCTCAACCCACCGCATCCGTCCCCCCACCCCATACGACCGATGAAATGGACCGAAGAGAACAGAGACAAACAACAACAACAACACACATCCAAATGATCCGGCATTTTAACCGCGTGAAAGCCACCCTTTGTTGGACTGACGAATAATTCACGTTTGTAAAATGGTGAGCTCAATCGGTGTTTCGCTTGAGTTATCCCCCATCCCCTCCCCACACTCCCCAACTTCCCAGCCTCCCTGCCCATCGCTCAACCCTCCCCCTAGGGCCCCCCCCCTATCCCCCCCCCCATCCCCTCCCTCCAACCCCGCACGGGCACCGGTCTCTTCACACCGCCTCGACGACACGTGACTCCCCGTTGGCTGACGCGGCTCCTTGTGCGGACTTCACTTCGCCTGTGTGAACATGTGGGGAGGGGGGTGATGAGGGAGGGGGTGATGGGGGAGGGGGGTGATGGGGGAGGGGGTGACGGGGGTGACGGGGGGAGGGGGGTGATGGGGGAGGGGGTGATGGGGGAGGGGGTGATGAGGGAGGGGGTGATGGGGGAGGGGGTGATGGGGGAGGGGGGTGATGGGGGAGGGGGTGATGAGGGAGGGGGTGATGGGGGAGGGGTGATGGGGGAGGGGGTGATGGGGGAGGGGGGTGATGAGGGAGGGGGTGATGGGGGAGGGGGGTGATGGGGGAGGGGGTGATGAGGGAGGGGGTGATGAGGGGGGGGTGATGAGGGAGGGGGTGATGGGAAGGGGGTGATGAGGGAGGGGGTGATGGGGGAGGGGGGTGATGGGGGAGGGGGGTGATGGGGGAGGGGGGTAATGGGGAAGGGGGTGATGAGGGAGGGGGGTGATGGGGGAGGGGGGTGATGGGGAAGGGGGTGATGAGGGAGGGGGTGATGGGGGAGGGGGGTGATGGGGGTGATGGGGAAGGGGGTGATGGGGGAGGAGGGTGATGGGGAGGGGGGTGATGGGGGAGGAGGGATGACGGAAGAGGAGGGGTGATGGGAGAGGGGGCGATAGGGGAGGAGGGGTGATAGGGGTGATGGGGCCGGGTTAATGGGGGTGATGCGGAAGGGGTGATGGGGTGGGGTGTTGGGGGATGGGTTGGTAGGGGAGGTTGAGGTAGGAAGTAAGGAGGGAGGGGGTGCACATCGCAGATTACTTTTGGGAGGCTGCGTGACCACTGGCCAGGCTCGTGCTACGCAGGGGTGCTTTCCACTGGGGGTCCCCCTAGGCCATACTGCAAGCAGGGGCTATGGCACGGTGCTTGAGAGGAGATTGATGTAATAATGTGCTTCAAACCAAACTAAACTTTTTCTTGTTATTGTAAGGCCCACTGAGCTATGTAGCGCTTTGTTAGAAACGACCTGGCCACAAGTGTTAGCTCAACGAAGTGGCTTATCATCAAATGTATAGCAGCCAACTACTCTAAACACGTGATGTTAATTCGATGCGTTGAGGGAAAAACTGGAGGACCCGAAGAAAAATCCACGCGACAACGGGGAGAGACACGCAAACTCCAAATATACAGCAGGCACCAGGGTCGGGATTGAACCCACAACCTCCTGCACACCAAGTGAGGTAGTTAACATCTCCCCACAGTGGGACCCCTATAATCGAGACGGTGCCTTTTGGTAGCATCGAATCAAACGTATCGGCGATTATTGACTGGAATCGTGACAATTCATCCTGAATGGCATCAAAGCGCTCTGCAATCTGCGGGTGATCCACCAAAACCTCCACTCGCGGCCCTACCTTTCCCAGAATCCTCCGCAGTGATCCCCACGTGATCATTGCCTTGCTTCGCTTTGGCGGAAGACTCCTCCCCCCCCGCCTTCGCCTCCTCCTGATTGGTCGCCGCGCCACCTTCCTCCCCCTCGGTGCTCGCTTCCTTCCCGCCTAAGGGGGACGCCTCCGCCTCCTCGGCCACCGCCGCCTCCCCATTGGCCGGCTCATCACGCGGCTCCGCCTCCGACGCCGCCCCGGACCCCGCCCCCCTCGTTTCCGTCACCGCCTCCTGCCCACCGCTGCCACCGCCACCGCTTGGTTTCTCCGTCGCCTCGGACGCCGTTTCTCCGTCTCCGTCGGTTTCTCCGTCGCCGCCGCCGCCGCCGTGTTTCCCGCCCGGCGTCCCCGCGTCGCCCGTCGGCGCCTCTCCCCCGCGCTGCGCCGTCGCCGGCTCGGCGTGGCCTTCATCCTCGCCGTCGCCCACCCCATTCTCGACGGACGCCACCTGCTCCTCCTCCTCCTCTTCCTTCTTCTTCTTCTCCTCGTCTTCTCCTGTCGTCGTCTCCCCCTCGTCGCCCTCCTCCTCCTCGTCGCCCTGCCGCTCCACCGCGGGTTTCTCCGAGCAGTTCACCTCTTTGTTGGAGATGGCCGCCGCGACATCGTTGGCCACTGTCTGCTCCTCCTCCGGCTTGGAGCCGCCGTCTTCCGGCTCCGCCTGCGACGCACAGCGACCGAGTCGGGAGCATGGGCGGACGACCGTCGGCGTTTCGTCGGCGAGGTCAACGCCGACAATTGAAAGTTGACATGCGTTGTATTTCACCGGGTTAAGGACCACTGAGGTCTAGAGGCTCTTTTTGTTTTCAGACGCGACCTGGCCGAAGATGATGGCTCAACGAGGTGGCTTATCGTCATCACGTGGAAATTTATAGCAGCCAAAATTACTCGAAAACACACGTTTCTAAATGTGGAGGGGAAAAAAAAAACAACGGAGGGCCCGGAGAGGGAGTCAACATCTCGCCACCGTGGCCGGCACTTGCCCTATTTGTCCAAGCTCTAGCGGTCCTCTACATATTAAGGAGTTTGTTGGCCAAGTGATGCGCTCGCACGTGGGAGGAGATTGAGGAAAAAAAAGCCCGCGCGTGCGAGGTGGAAACACGCGATCCCATAGAGATGGGAACTTGTGTCGTACTCCACATTTGTTTTGCTGTACCACCATCTCCTGGTGAGCCCATGGTACGGCATCTCCTCAACGCACCACGAGAAGGGAGTCTCACAGGCATTTGAAGCAGAATATTTATACTGGAGGAATCCGATGAGCTAAGAAGCTCTTTTTTCACCGATGTACAGTAGGGGGCACGGGGTCAGAACGTTACAACAACAGACAGTACAACAGACACGATAGGAGTGCAAATTGTAGGAAAGGTAAACAAGTCACTTTAACAAAATGTACAAATACAACTAAACTACTCTTTTTTTCTTACCAGGTAAGTCCCACTGGGCTATTAGCTTCATTTTCAGAAGGGAACTGCCCACAAAATGAAAGCGTGGCACGGGGAAATTGATAGTAGCAAAAATAATCTAAACGCATGTTTCGATTTAAAGCTTTCGTGACTGCAAGCATTAATCTTCTTTGGTTCTTTCGTAAAGTCACGTAGAATGAGAATAAAATAATAAAATAAAATTACAATCAAATTCTCACGACGTTTCGGCCACAACACAAGCAGCCTTCTTCAGGTGAAAGAACAAAACTTTCACCTGAAGAAGGCTGCTTGTGTTGTGGCCGAAACGTCGTGAGAATTTTATTCTCACGACGTTGTGGCCGAAACGTCGTGAGAATTTTATTCTCACGACGTTTCGGCCACAACACAAGCAGCCTTCTTCAGGTGAAAGAACAAACTTTCACCTGAAGAAGGCTGCTTGTGTTGTGGCCGAAACGTCGTGAGAATTTTATTGTTTTATTTTATTACTTTATTCTCATTCTTCGTGACTTTACCGAAAGAACCAAAGAAGATAAACGCATGCTGTTGTGTGTGTGTGTGCGTGAGATCCACCAACCCTTTTCTGCTGCTCTCACAACGCTGGAGTACAGGCCACGTGCAACATAACCACCACCAGCGCTCGGGTGATAACAATCTCGTACGCAAATACGTGCTGAATGCACCCCATGCCGTCAGCGTGCTCTGTGTATTGTAGGTACCATGGACAGCGCTCATAGCGGTGGGGTGGGGGTGGGGTCCTAATGTCCAGTTTTCCAGGGATGTCACCACGCTGGGATTTATAGTGGTACGTCTTTGTCGCTAGCTGGCCCTGTTAAGCGATTATAATGAAGATGATGGTGATAATAATGATGATAATAATGCTGTGATAATGAATATGACGATGAATAACACGATGACCATCGGGAGCATATTTCGCAAATTAGATGCAGTTGTTCGATCGAGAAATCAGAGGCGTGGAGCCAGAGTTCAGTGTCCCTTGCTCGGTAGCCTGAAGAGGTGAGCCAGAACAAATTATGTTGAACGAGTGATATTGAACAGGTGAACCTGAACAGATAATATTGAACAGGTTGCATTGAACAGCTGATATTAAACAGGTGCGCCAGAACAGCTGATATATAACGGGGGGGGGGGGGGGGGGGTGGGGGAGAGCCGACCTCTCACTAACGACGAGCGCCCGAGCTTCGCTCACCTGTTCAGGCTCACCTGTTCAGGCTCACCTGTTCAGGCTCGCCTGTTCAGGCTCGCCTGTTCAGGCTCGCCTGTTCAGGCTCACCTGTTCAGGCTCGCCTGTTCAGGCTCACCTGTTCAGGCTCACCTGTTCAGGCTCACCTGTTCAGGCTCACCTGTTCAGGCTCGCCTGTTCAGGCTCGCCTGTTCAGGCTCGCCTGTTCAGGCTCACCTGTTCAGGCTCACCTGTTCAGGCTCACCTGTTCAGGCTCACCTGTTCAGGCTCGCCTGTTCAGGCTCGCCTGTTCAGGCTCGCCTGTTCAGGCTCGCCTGTTCAGGCTCGCCTGTTCAGGCTCGCCTGTTCAGGCTCGCCTGTTCAGGCTCGCCTGTTCAGGCTCGCCTGTTCAGGCTCGCCTGTTCAGGCTCGCCTGTTCAGGCTCGCCTGTTCAGGCTCGCCTGTTCAGGCTCGCCTGTTCAGGCTCGCCTGTTCAGGCTCGCCTGTTCAGGCTCGCCTGTTCAGGCTCGCCTGTTCAGGCTCGCCTGTTCAGGCTCGCCTGTTCAGGCTCGCCTGTTCAGGCTCACCTGTTCAGGCTCACCTGTTCGGTATCATCGATCTTATGAGTTGCATGGGTTAGGCTTTCACGGTCAATGTGATTCGCAATTAGTTTTTTTGTGGGTTCCAATAAACGTGGAGGTGTAATTATATGTATTTTTTTAAAATCTTCCTATAACCCCGCCACCACCCGACTGAGCCAATCGAATCAAGTTAAAAAGCGAAGCAAAATTTGTCAAAATCGACTCCTCCCCCCTCCCCCCTACCTCCTCCATCCTCCTCCTCCCCCTCCCTCCTCCCTCCCTCCCTCCCCCAGGTGTGCTGATAAACCGAATCAATCGGCGTATTTGCCCATCGCGTGACAACCTGATTGGCTCTGTCGAGTAGCGGATGGTTATAATCTGTTTTACATTATACACGACATACCAATATTGAACCCGAAAGAGAATACCAACTGTGAACGGGATCTGATTAGTGTGGATCGGGCACCGTGGGCTGTGACTGTGAGGAAGGACATTACGACGTGCCCGTTCATCGATAGATCGATTAAAATCGATCATTATGCTCATGGTATGCACATAATCGAGTCACGTGCGTGAGAATAGAATATTACATTGTAAACGAAATGCGTATTTTATTTGTGTGTTTTTTATGCTTGCCTTATGGGAGGCTTCCATACAGCAGTAGATTGACAATGGTTGATAATGATGGTTATGCAATTGTAATGATGATGATGTTACATTTTCAAGGATGACAGAAATAAAACTGTAGGAATGACAAAAAAAGACACGACACGCATCTCAAACGTCACGGTGAAATCAGGACCCCCCACCCCCCCCCCCCCCCCCCCCCCCCCCAAAAAAAATATATAAAAATGTTGATTCTCAAATGGAAATTCGACTCTCACGAGAGTCGTGCCAAATCATCAAGGCACCAGGGAGCTGGCGGATCGTTGCATTCTGATTGAGCCCCGTCCCGACACAGCTCGGATTAGAGCTAGTGGCAGACACACCCTGACGAATCCATACCCTAGACCCAGACACAGCCATCGCCCATATCCAGACATAACCCATACCCAGACATAATCTATACCTAGACCTAACACAGACTCTGACATAGCCAAGACCCCTACCTAACCGAGACACAGACATAACCTAGATCCTAACCTAAACAAAACCCTGACAAAACCCAGACCCTAACACAGACCAAGCCTAGACCCAGACACAGCCAGACCCAGATTCGAACCCAGACGGAGCCCAGACCCAGACGCAGACCTATCCCATATCTAACCCAGACACATACCTAACCCAGACACATACCTAACCCAGACACAGACCTAACCCAGACACAGACCTAACCCAGACACAGACCTAACCCAGACACAGACCAGCCCATTCCTAACCCAGACACATACCTAACCCAGACACAGACCTAACCCAGACACAGACCTAACCCAGACACAGACCAGCCCATTCCTAACCCAGACACATACCTAACCCAGACACAGACCTAACCCAGACTCAGACCAGCCCATTCCTAACCCAGACACATACCTAACCCAGACACAGACCTAACCCAGACACAGACCTAACCCAGACACAGACCTAACCCAGACACAGACCTAACCCAGACACAGACCTAACCCAGACACAGACCTAACCCAGACACAGACCTAACTCAGACACATACCTAACCCAGACACGGCCCTAACTTAGACACGGACCTAACCCAGTCCCCAACACAGACCGAGACCCAACCTAGACCGGGACTCTGACCCAGACCGAGCTCAGACCCAGACCCACACCTCGCCCAGAACGATCCCAGACCTAACCCATACCCAGACCTAACCCAGACACGGACCTAATTCAGAGGAGACCCAGACCTAACCCCGAGGCAGCCCGAGCGCTGATCCTCGTCTGCCCGGCGAAGCGCCACGCCCTGAACCCCCTCCCCCCGCGCCCCCCACCCCGCGCCCCTCCCCTCTCGCGTGGAAATCTACCGTGGTGCCCACCACCACCACCACCGCACGAATCCTCTCCCGTAGCCCGCCCTTCCGTTGTTAACGAGCAACTGTGGAGCGTCTGCGCGGCACACTTTGGCGTGGTTGGTGTGGCCGCCTTTAGTCTCGCATCGCCTGCAAGGGGTGTGCGTTTAAGGCTGAGTCGACCTAGGGGACCGGTTCAGATATCACCCGCGGCTGACGGTGGCCGTCGGCGGGAATCGAACTTATGCTGGGCCGTGTTCACGGCGCAATGCGCCAATCACTGATACACCGCTCCCCACGCGCGCACACACTCACAGAGACGTACACACACTCCCACAGACACACGCAGAAATATACGTAGACATATCATAGTGTTACCCACAAACATACACCCATACACACCCAATTAAACAAAGGCAAAGATAAAGGTCCCCCGTATAGCCTTAACAGACTGTTGGGGCAAGTGCTGTTAGCGAGCACCTACGAGGGCCGGCACGGCATACGAGGTGGTGGGTGGCCAGCACCACGCCCAGCTGCCTTTGTGCTGATGTTTTTTTTTACACACTGCATCACGTACACTACTCATTTGAGTCTCAGTCGACCTAGGGGAGGCCCAGGACCGGTTCAGATAATCGTCACTCGGGTCGCCTGCTTCTGCAATATCGCTACACCTGACATACAAACACAGACACGTACAGACACTCACAGACACACCTACAATCCTTTCCCCCAAACCGTCATTTGACCAACCCAGGCTCGCCGTACGATAAGAGAGAGAGAGGGGGAGAAAAAATTCCGACAATTGATTTGAAATTCAACTCGCACACACACGCGCGCCACTCCTCCAAGCTTCCACAGCAACAGCAGCATCATCAGAATCATTATCATCATTAGCAGCAGCATCATAATTAGTAGCAGTATCCTGATAATCATCAGCAGCACCATCATTGTCATCGTTCGCAGCATCATGATGATCATCATCAGCAGCAATATCACCAGCATCTGCATCTCTATCCTGAGCAGCAACAGCAGCATCATCAGAAGCATTATCATCATCAGCAGCATCATTAGCATCATCATTATTATCATCAGCAGCAGCATCATTGTCAACATTCGCAGCATCATTACGATCATCATCAGTAGCAATATCACCAGCATCAGCATCTCTATCATCAGCAACAGCAGCAGCAGCAGCAGGAAAAGCTGTCCGTCTGCCTGCACTATACACCCGTGGCTCAAGTCGAACCCGACATTCAACGTGTGCGGTCACCGTTCAGTTGAACCCAGGGGGACGACCCCCGCTGATGATGGCACACAATGCCCGGCTCCACGGCGCGTGACCGTGCAATGTAATTGGCGCGTACATCGCCAGTCTCTCGTCGTGTTCTTTTTATTCTCTTGTTGCTCTTCTCATCAAATGCCAATCGTTTGTTAACGATTCGCATTGAAACACGCGGAACACGTCTTTAATATTTGTATAAATAATAATATTTTTCAATCCCAACGACATCGCCGAACAAATTTTTTTTCTCTTGCCCCCACTCCAGCCAAAATATAAATCCCGGCGGAATATTAATAATGATTCATTATTCATACCGTCAAGATATAATTGCGTTGCACCTTTCATCATCATTCCCAGCATCACCACCGGCACCAACATCAACACCATCATCATCATCATACATCCGTCATATAAACGCTTGTTAATTATTGTACGTATGTTTATATATATATTCCACAACAACAGCAACACAGATGATGATCATAACGCTGTACGCTCGGCGTGCGGGAATACAGCGATGGAGAAGGACGCGCTGTGATGATGAGTGCAGCAGTAGCAGCAGCTGTAGCAGCAGCAGAAGCAGCAGCAGCAGCTGTAGCAGAAGCATCAGCAGCACGGTACCTGCTTGTTTCGTTTCATGCAACACAGCATCGCGACTGCACGGTCGTTGCGCGTTTTTTCGTCGTCTGTTCTACAATGGCAAAGCAGCAACGTATTTTATTGTGCTTGTAATGTTAAATATTCTATCTTCGGATGATCCAGCCCAGTCAGTCGGTCAGTCGGCCCAGTCCTTCCTCCTGCTCCTCCTCCTCCTCCTCTCTCTCTCTGGCTCACTAATTTCTCTGCCGCCACCACGCCCTGGGTTTTCTTATCTTGCGGGGGGTGGAAGGGGGGCCGTGGTGGGGCTGGGGGTCGTGGATTGGGTGGTGGTGGAGGAGGGTGGGTGGGGGTGTGGGACGAGGGTGGGGTTAAGGGGGGTGGGGACTGGCGGTGAACACGTTAAGCAAATCAATAAATCAAATTAAGATACCCCCAACCCGCAGCCCCCCCCCCCCCCCCCGTCGAGCCTATAGCCCCCACTCAATCCGCCCACCTTACTCCGATAAAGATCCTCCACTCCACCACCACCACCCCGCGTAGCCTTAACAGACTGCTGGGGCAAAAGCCGTAAGCGAGCGCCTACGAAGGCACCTCCGATTAGCGCCGTTGGCCACGTACGGTGCGAAAGAAGGCCAACATGCACGCACGCATGCATTAGAGGGCCGGCACGGCACGCAAAAGGGTGGGTGGCCAGCACCGCGCCCGGCCGCCTTTGTCTCCCTAAGCAGCGACGTTTACTCCACACTCATTCGAGGCTGAGTCAACCTAGGGGGGAGGAACGGGACCGGTTCAGATTATCGCCACTGGTGGTGACGATGGTGGTAGGGCTGTGCGTTAACCATAGCGCCACCGCTCCCCCACCGACACGCACACAGAGAGACAGGCGCGCAGGGGGCGGGGGACAGCGAAAGAAGGGAGCAGAGGAAGGGGAGGGGAGGGATCAAGCGGAGGAGGGGGGATCGAGAGGGGGAGGGGGGTCGAGAGGGGGAGGGGGATCTAGAGGGGGATCGAGAGGGGGAGGGGGATCGAGAGGGGGAGGGGGGTCGAGAGGGGGAGGGGGATCTAGAGGGGGAGGGGGATCGAGAGGGGGAGGGGGGTCGAGAGGGGGAGGGGGATCGAGAGGGGGAGGGGGATCGAGAGGGGGAGGGGATCGAGAGGGGGGGGGGATCGAGAGGGGGAGAGGGGTCGAGAGGAGGAGGGGGGTCGAAAGGGGGAAGGGGATCGAGAGGGGGGTCGGGAGGGGGAGGGGGATCGAGAGGGGGAGGGGGATCGAGAGGGGGAGGGGATCGAGAGGGGGAGGGGGATCGAGAGGGGGAGGGGGGTCGAGAGGGGGAGGGGGATCGAGAGGGGGAGGGGGATCGAGAGGGGGAGGGGATCGAGAGGGGGAAGGGGATCGAGAGGGGGGGGGATCGAGAGGGGGAGAGGGGTCGAGAGGAGGAGGGGGGTCGAAAGGGGGAAGGGGATCGAGAGGGGGGTCGAGAGGGGGAGGGGGATCGAGAGGGGGAGGGGGATCGAGAGGGGGAGGGGATCGAGAGGAGGAGGGGATCGAGAGGGGGAGGGGGATCGAGAGGGGGAGGGGATCGAGAGGAGGAGGGGATCGAGAGGGGGAGGGGGATCGAGAGGGGGAGGGGGATCGAGAGGAGGAGGAGATCGAGAGGGGGAGGGGGTCGAGAGGGGGAGGGGGGATCGAAAAGGGGAGGGGGGATCGAGAGGGGGAGGGGGTCGAGAGGGGGAGGGGGATCGAGACGGGGAGGGGGATCGAGAGGAGGAGAGGCTCGAGAAGGGGAGGGGGGTCGAGAGGTTGAGGGGAGGTCGAGAGGAGGAGGAAGGGGTTGGGGGAGCAGCAGGCCCTGGTGAATACAGAATTTGCGGCAGTAGCAGCAGTCATAAAAGACGACGCCAGCCCGATCCCAGCCACAGCCACCTCCGCCCCCACGCTCCTCGCTCGGCGCGCATGCGCCCGGCGCGCCGCCACGCACGCGCGTGCGTGATGGTGGGCTGGGGAGACGGGGGGGGGAAGAGGAGGGTGGAAGAGGATGGTGCAGAGGGAATGGAGGAGCGTGGTGATGGGAGGATGGAGGGAGGAGGGTGGTGATGGGAGGATGGAGGAGAGAGGAGGGAGGAGGATGGTGATGGGTGGAGGATGGAGGAGGGTGGTGATGGGAGGATGGAGGATGGAGGGGGGTGGTGATGGGTGGATGGAGGAGGATGGTGATGGGAGAATGGAGGAGAAAGGAGGCTTGTGATGGGTGGATGGAGGAGGGTTGTGATGGGTGGATGGAGGAGGGAGGAGGGTGGTGATGGGAGGACGGAGGAGAAAGGAGGGTGGTGATGGGTGGATGGAGGAGGATGGTGATGGGGGATGGAGGATGGAGGAGGGTGGTGATGGGAAGATGGAGGATGGAGGATGGTGGTGATGGGTTGACGGAGGATGAAGGAGGGTGGTGATGGGAGGATGGAGGAGGGAATAGGATGGTGATGGGAGGATGGAGGAGGGAGGAGGATGGTGACGGGAGGATGGAGGAGGGTGGTAATGGGAGGATGGAGGAGGCAGGAGGATGGACTCCCCCCGCACCTCAGATAAGCACGGTTGGCCTTGTACGGTGCGAAAGAAGTTCAACACACCGCACATACATCAGATGAAGACGTGCCTGCGAGCGAGCGGTGCATCACACTGTGTCAGACGACGTGGCCCCTCATAAGCTGTGGTTGCAGAACTACCCCGGTAGCCACATCCACGGCGCCACCTTACCCCCCTCGTATAGCCCCCCCCCCCCCCCCCCCCCCCCCCCCCCCCCCCCCCCCCCCCCCCCCCCCCCAGGTACGAATCTTAAGTCAGCCAAGCTGGAATTAGCCAAATGAAGTGAACAACTTCAAAAAATGATGTTTTGTTTTTTTACGCGTGTGTGTGTGCAGTTGTCTGGGGAGCGGTAGTGTAGCGGTTAGCGCGCTGCGCTACTAACCTGGTAACCCGGGTTCGATTCCCGTTCACGGCCACCAACACCGGTGACGATTATCTGAACTGGTCCTGGGCCTCCCCTAGGTTGACTCAGCCTCAAATGAGTACCTGGTACGGTGTGTAAACATCGCCACTGGGGAGACAACTGCGGCCGGGAGTGGTGCTGGCCAACCACCGCCTCGTGTGCCGTGCCGGCCTTCATTGGTCATAGGTGATACTCGCTAACAGCACTTGCACCAATAGTATGTTAAGGCTATACGGGGATCTTTGTCCTTGTCTTTTTATATGAATGCTGTGACCACCAACCGGTTGACATTGATTCGCGTGTCACGTGTATTCAATGCCTGGGTCGGGTCGAGGATGGTTTACGACAGATCATGAACCCAAAAGGAACCAACTGGAAATTGCGTAAACATTATTTTCCATAATTCACAATCGGTTTCCTTCGGCTTAGGTCGCGTGAAACGTAATCTGTGTGTCGTGAACCCTCCTCCAACCGACGCAGCCCATTTCGTGACACTTTTATCACCCAAAAAAAACCTAAATTTATGAATCCTCAGTCATGAAAAACCGTACGTTGATCAATGATTTAACATATTTAATCTTAATTCTAGATTTGAAGCTTTCGTGACTGCAAGTCACCTACCGAAAAAAAACAAAGACTACATTTAATATTCTTAGCTCTTTCGGTAAAGTCACGTTGAAGTGAAACAATAAAATAATAAAATGTATATATAAAACAATAAAAATTCTCACGACGTTTCGACCAAAACACAAGCGGTCGTCATCAGGTGTGTCGGTTTGCATTAATTTATTTATTTTCAAACGGTGTATTTATTTATTTATAAAAACGTCAGCACCACGCGCAGCGATTTGACAGTTTATTGAGAAGGACTAGTCCATATATGTTCTGAAAAGAGGAGGGGGGGAGACGAAAATTAATGTATGCTGTCTGAAAGCCACCGTAAGCGTGAACAATCAATTAAGACCTGAAATGGTTTATCAAATCCTTCCAATGATTGCTAAGCCAGAATCCATCTTCTCGATTGAAATTGTCTCTGTGCTTGTATATGTGGATAGCCTCATGAACGAATCTCTCATGGTAGCCAGATGGCTTACAAAGAACCTCTGTCTTGGAAAAGTCAATGTCATGTGAGCCTACTGAATTATAACAGTGATCTACCACGGCCGAGGTGTTGGTCCTACCGTGTTTAAGGTCTGCTTTGTGTTCACGAAAGCGGTCCGAGACATGGCGTTTGGTTTCTCCAATGTAACTACTACCACAGAGGCAACTTAGTTTGTAGACACCAGGGTACTGTATGTCCGGAATCACATCTTTTGCAGACGGAACCAGATCACGGATTTTATGTAATGTGTTGAAACGGACCTGGATCTTGTGTTTATTCAAGATTTTGGAGATCTTTTTTGTGATCCCCGCAATGTAGGGTAAAGTGATGGTTTTGAAAGGCTCCTCAAGAGGGTCCTTCTTCATGGTTTGAGTGATAACTTTGCGGATTGTATAGTCGGAGTAACCATTAGCCTTAAGAGCTTGGTGTACGTGCTTGAGTTCACTGCCTATGTGTTCCTGATCGGATATGCATTGGGCTCTATGGTACAGAGTCTTGATGAGATAATTCTTTTGTGATGGATGGTGGTGGGAATCCGGTTTCAGATAAGCATCCGTATGGGTATCTTTCCTGTAGACAGAGTGGCTCATTGAACCATCAGGTCTCTTTTTTATTAGGACATCCAAAAAAGGTAGCTTGCCATATATTTCGACTTCCATGGTAAATCTGATGGCTGGGTGTATGGAATTGATGTGGTCGAAAAATTGGTCTAGAGCAGGCAGGCCATGTGGCCAGATGACAAAAGTGTCATCCACGTACCTCTTCCATAAGGTTGGGCGCAGAGTGGCAGTCTGGATGGCGTCAGTCTCAAATTTCTCCATGAAAATGTTAGCTATAACCGGAGATAGGGGGGAGCCCATTGGGGTGCCCTCAGTTTGTTTGTAGAAAGTTCCATTCCAAGTGAAGTATGTATTGGTTAAACAGTGTCTCACCAGGGGGGGTACCTCAGTGTTTAGTCAAGACTCTGTACCATAGAGCCCAATGCATATCCGACCAGGAACACATAGGCAGTGAACTCAAGCACGTACACCAAGCTCTTAAGGCTAATGGTTACTCTGACTATACAATCCGCAAAGCTATCACTCAAACCATGAAGAAGGACCCTCTTGAGGAGCCTTTCAAAACCATCACTTTACCCTACATTGCGGGGATCACAAAAAAGATCTCC